AGTTTGGTCAGTTCAGCGGTACCGTTTTATCCTCGCATAATTTATTCATCGTTCCCGTTATCGTGTGCTTATAGTCAGTAGCATGTCATTGGGCTAACCAAAAAGATGTATTTAATGTATTTAAAATTTCCACGGCGAGAGACGCGTATGTTAAGATTCAGTTTTTGTCAAGCCTGAGTCGCCGAGCCGCTTTTTCTCGATTTATCTGTCAAACGACGCCTGTGAAGGATAGGACGATTTCGTTCCTACCTTGGATTGAGGGATAGCTAGGGACTGCCGATCTTCCTGTCGCTCTGAACATGCAGCGAAATCAGCAAATGTCGAAAATTTCCTTGTCTCTGCTTCTCATTGTCCTTTCTTCTCTCTCTCTCTCTCTCTCTCTCTCTCGATATTCTGTATTTTTTCTCTCTGAAATCGTTTTCAAAATGATCCAAAGTTTGAATATCTAAAAACGCTACAGTTAGTTTTAAACATTACTTTTTTAGACGGATGCTGGAAATCGTTCTCCAAAGCGCGACGAACATGGGGAAGAGTTGAACAGCGAAAGTAAGTGGCACGTGACGTCATCACTAAAATATGTTTTGTTTTTCTTTGAAGGCGACTGGTACAAATCAGTGAAAATCATTGTCATCGATGATATCGAACGCGAGTTTTTACTTTCAAAGGCCAATTACATCATCGCGCAAAAGGAAGACTGTGATCGTGGTAGGTGTTTTTTGGGGCTGATAGCTGTTTTGGGTTTTTCCCTGCTTGCTGCGCAGAGGACAACAAAAACCGGGTTGCGAAACAAACAACGAAAGTCAGCAAAAACGAGCTGTTTGGATGTCATCATTCGATCATGAACCTGTTCTGTTCTAACCTCAATTTTTATCTCATCAGTCAGAAGTGCTATTTTATTTGACTGTTTTTTTAAACGTTGCATCTATTACTTGATGGCAACCATGGCGTTTTATCTCCTGTTTTTCCCAATAGGAGGCACTCATAAAGATGAGGCGAACGATCTCATGGCAGTTCGAATCTGGAACCTCTCGGTTCTGAGTCTGATGTTCTATAGACTGGGCGGCCCCTTTTGGGGTTGCAAACGCATTGAACTCTTTGGGGCGTAGGTAGGACAGCCATGGATATAGTAAAGTTAATCGTGTCTTGCTGTTTTGAATTTGATGTTGTTTTTTCGACGTTCACCTCTTAAGTCTACTGTTTTACCTTATACGGCCTTGGTTTGTTGGTAGAGATGATGGAGGCAGTCAAACAAGTCTAGCCGTTGGTTTTCTGTTTGCCTGAGCGATGAACGTATTACAGTTCATCTTGATGGATTGGTTTGAAGTACTTCGTCAGGTCCTAATATTTTCTTCTGTAGGTTTCTCAGTTGTGTCGATGTGCGACAACAAGCGTTTCAGTTCGCGTGTAACGTTCGTGATGATGTTAATATTCTCATAGTTATTTTTTTACTTGATTTGGTATTATTGCTTTAGGCTATTATGACCCGACCGAAACTGTCAAGAGGTTAGTGTCGTTGTGCGAAATTCGACTAGCAGCTACTTTATCCAGTGCCTTTGACCTGCCACTGTCCGAGGTACTGGAACCATTGGTGTTTGCGTAAGTGGCTTCTGTACTTTCTGAGCATTTGTACTTCTTGCTGTGCCGATTTACTCACAGTAACAGGATGTATACTAATGTATATTTACTCATAATTGTTACTTACACACTATCGTAATTATGTGATTCATATTCGTAAATACATTGCAACGTTATTCCAGTGGGTGGCCTATTCAAATTTGAAGTAAATAAGGGTGGTTGAGAGTTATAGTATGGGGAATATATAAGTGATATATCCGTCTGATTTATAATGTTTTCGCATATTAACTTAAAGGTGCAAGACTCTAAGCGCAGGTACCAGCTAAAATTCACATTTTTTTTAATATACTGCAAAGTCAAACCGTTTAAATTATGAGCCTGTTTGCTCATAAGGGGCCGTCCAAGACACCAATGTTGTCTTTATCCTCTTTCTAAAAGATAGACCCTATTCTTTTGGATATATCATAAGCTGGGATGAAATTTTTATCCATTTGTTACTTGTTGAAATAACCTTGAACCGTTTGCATATGCAGAATGTGTCTGGTTTGTAAAGTCCGCTGAATTTACAGTTTTTTGAAACATTTTGCCATTA